TCCAACACTATGATTCTATGTTTTGGGGATTTCATTAATATGTCTTTCTAGGAATCTCTCTGTTTTCCACTGCAACTCAATAGACAGCTTCCAGTAGAAGCTGGCCTAGAGACAATAGTTAGGCTCAACTACAGTAAATCCATTCAATTAATTGTAGAATTGGCAGAGTGAAAACTGGAGAAAGATTTACCACAAATGGCTTTACTTTATAGAAGAAGAAATTTCAGCAGCTGTTGCTTGTCACTTAGATGCATGGCAAACAACACCTGCTGAATTTTCCCCATTTTACACAATAATAAAAAATAGAGGAGTCTTCTCCAGTTTTCAATCTGGCAACTATATTTCACATTAATGAATAAAATACATCCACCGCCATTTGTTTTATTTTATCTTTATAAATTATAATAAAATGAACACACATGCCTTGTAGGGGGAAGTGGTGTTTGTGATTAGATGTATAGTATTCAGATTCATTCTCACCTTCTGTTTGGGGATTTGGGCATTAATTATTTATTTGGGACACTCCAATGTCATGTTTCTCCAAGGTCTCAACGTGGTTTACAACCATAATTAAAACATAACAATATAAAATAACCTATTAAAATAATTCCAAGTTGGTCCAGTGCAGCGGGCTTGGATGGTAGGACACGATGTCTCAAGTATCCTGGACTGAAACCATGGTTAAAACTAGCACCTTAAATTGAGACCAGAAGGCAATCAGGAGCCAGTGGAGCTGTTTCAGCACCAGGGTGGTGTGCTCCCTGGAGTCAGCTCCAATGAGCAGTGTAGCTGCCATATGCTGGGCCAATTGCAGTTTCCAGAAACTTTTTAAGGGCAGTCCCACATAGAGCACATTGCAGTAGTCCAAACGGAATGTAACCAGTGCATGTACTACTGTGGCCAAGTCAGATTTCTCCAGAAATGGGCGCAGCTGGCACACAAGTTTTAATTTTGCAAAGGCAGCCCTGGCCACCACCACCACCTGTGCTTCCAGATTTAAGGTGGAGTTCAGAACCACTTCCAAATTGCAAACCTGAGATTTCAGGGGGAATATAACCCCGTCCAGCTCAAGTTGCAACCTTATCTCCAGATCGATCTTCCGCGAGACCTGCAGTACTTCTGTTTCATCTGGATGAAGCTTCAATTTGTTTGTCCTTATCCAGTCCATTACCACCCTCAGGCAATGGTTCAGGTGTGAAACTGCTTCCTTGGTTTCGGATGGAAAGGAGTAGTAGAGTTGAGTGTCATCTGCTTACAGATGCTACCGAACTCCAAAACTTCGGATGATCTCTCCCAACAGTTTCAGGTAGATGTTAAACAACATTGGGGATAATGATGAACCCAGGGGCTACGGAATTGAGCAGGACTCCCCCAACACCACCTTCTGGAGATGGCTCAAGAGGAAGGACCAGAACTACTGCAATACAGTGCCTCCAAGTTGCATCCCCACCAGGCGTTCTAGAAGGGTACCATGGTTGATGGTATCGAATGCCACTGAGAGGTCTAGTGGGACCAGCAGGGTCACACTCCCCCTGTCTAGTTCCCCTAGTAGATCATCCACCAAGGCGACCAAAGCCGTTTCCGTCCCATGCCCTGGCCTGAAGCCGGATTGAAATGGATTAAAAAAATCAGCATCCTCCAAAAATCTTTTGAGGACATGTTGCTTATTTTCATTGACAGCAAGGTAAATATATTGAGGATGATTCGAAGTAAGGCCAATAGGTTCCAGGTGTGAACCATGGCATTTTCATGTATGACAGAGAAGGAATCCTGAGTGACATTTTAGAGGGCTCATGTCTGTCCATGTACAGAATATTGATCTACTTGGACCAATAGTCTAACTCAGTTTAATATGGCTTCATTTTTCTCTATGTAATGCCTTGCTTCTATAGTTCCCACATTTTCTATTGGGTGGTATAGCACTTCTGAACAAGGAGATGCCATTTAGCTACCATGATGTGTGGCTATATAGTTTGGCAGTTCTGGAAGTCATAGCCTGAAACCTCGGCCTTTTTGTGACTTGTGATTGTAAACCACCAGATTCTTCTGCCAGGAAGGGTTCTGCTTAAGACCAAGGGGGAAAAGGATAGATTGAATAAGAGCTAAATGTACACAAACTTCTAACTCCAGAACACAGTGGTCCAGTCAGTCTGCCATGAAAAACCACCTGCAACATCAAAAGCAAAGCCCACTAAACTACCAAGTTGGGTAAAAAAAACCAAGTGTTCCCTAAGTATCTAATTAGTCTTTGTGCTCAGCAACACCAAATTAATTATAAAAGGGTTTTTTTTAATGAAAGGTCAACTCTTACAGTATTGCATGGCTGATTTAAAAAGAAAATTAGTGGGTTCATATACTACACATATATATGCAATACATAGAAGAAAGCTCCTTTGATAATAAAAATGACTATTGTTACTTATAATTGGGGGAATTGTGTTCAGTTTGGCTCTGCAATAAATTCACTTTGTTTTGCTTCTTTGAATCATACAGAGATGATCTGAGAGTGCCTTTCCTCAATATATTTGTTCTTTCTGTTCTAGATTATGTGGTGGATGGATGGGTGATTTAGCTCCCCAAAATGGCATTTGTATTCAATGTTCAAATTGCATTTAACATGCTGACTAAACCTGCACTACAAGGTTATTTTACATTTGTATCAGTTTAATTGCCATGGCTTTCCCCAAGGATTCTTGGGAATGGAAGTGTGGTGAAGCGGTGAAAAATTCTCTATGAGACACTTCATAATACAAGTAGGAATGACTTACACCAGATGAAATCATGATTGTAAATTGGATTGGGTGAATCATGCTGCCCTCCTAGTTGTTACTGAACTATAACTCTAGTCAGCATGGATAATGTTAAGGGATTCTGAGAGATGCAGTCCAAAATACTCGAACTCAAAGTGATAGTCCACAGGCTGATGCCAACCCAAGAACCATCATCTTCTGGTCCATGGTGAGTTTCCAAGAAAGAAGAAACAGTTGTAGCCAATGGATCCAAATATGGCATCAGTCTCTGACCCATTTGGAAAACAAAACATTGCTGAACATATACATCAGATAGCCTGAGAAACATTTATATTGAAAGCTATATAATTCTCATCCCTGGTGTAGCTATCGCTTAACTTATGCTGACCCTAAGGCAATCCAGTCATGACATTTTTTGCAGCCAAGGGTGTGACTTGCCCTAGGTCACCTGGTGGGCTTCCATAACCAAGTGGGAAATTGAACCAATGCTCAAACCATACATCACACCAGCAATCTCTATAAAAATTGTTGTGTAGAACGCCTGTGGACCTATAGCAATTCAATTAATTTCATAGAGATTTCCCAGGCAAGGAATACTCAGAGGTGGTTTGCCATTGAACCCCTCTGAAATATAGTCTGCAGCACCTGGTATTCATTGACAGCCTCCTACACGAGTACTACTTACCAGTCCTAATCTTGTTTAGCATTCTAGATCAGATGGGATAAACTATAGAATCATAGAAACATAGAATCATAGAGTTGGAAGAGACCTTGTGGGCCATCCAGTCCAACTCCCTGCCAAGAAGCAGGAAAGTTGCATTCAAAGCACCCCCGACAGATGGCCATCCAGCTTCAGTTTAAAGCCTCCAAAGAAGGAGCCTCCACCACACTACGGGGCAGAGAGTTCCACTGCCAAACAGCCCCCACAGTTAAGAAGTTCTTCCTTATTTTCAGATGGAATCCCCTTTCTTTTAGTTTGAAGCCATTGTTCTGCGTCCTAGTCTCCAGGACAACAGAAAACAAATTTGCTCCCTCCCCCCTATGACCTCTCCTCACATATTTATACATAGTTATCATGTCTCCTCTCAGCCTTTTCTTCTGCAGGCTAAACATGCCCAGCTCTTATATAAAAAGTGATTCATTGCAACTTTCTAATGGATTGCTAATGGTAAATTGTTGGGGATCCCAGAACTGTTTTTAAGGTGGGGGATCTCAACCTTGACAATCACACTATTAGTAATTTTGCCTATTTACAGGGAAAGGGCAATTACTTTGCCCATCCGGTATCACCCAAATAGCCTTAAATATGAAGACTCTTACAAGCACAGTGTGCACTGAGAAGTGCCCTGCTCTCAGTGCCAGATTTACTATTGTGCTTAGATGTGCTTAAGCACAGGGTACCATTGGCTGGGGGGAGGGACACATCTCCCCCCCCTTCCCCAAATTTGATATGATGGATTTTGCTTATGTGGTGCACTTCTGCATTTGAAAGAGTTCTGTTTCAGAGAGATTCCAGATATAATAGAGATGATCGTCTATGGGAGTGTGCCACAAAGCAGGCAGTGTAGGGCTACTGGGTCTCCCTCCTTCAGGGCCCAAGTCAGGGGCCCCATAACTTAACTAGCACAGAGCCTCATTTGTCTTAAATCCAGCTCTGCCTGCCCTCCATATGCTCAGTGTCACTTACTTCCAAGTAAGTAAGCAGGATAAATCGCCAGCAGCCTTTATTATTCCTGGAAAAGCTCAGCAACAATAGCTGCCTTCATGTTTCTTAGGGCTTGACCTTTTAGGACACTTCTGGTTAGTAATTCCTGACGAGTCAGCTGTGTAGGAGCCTTTGTGATCCTCTTTCAACAGATCAACTGTGAGGGAAGGCTCGAACCCCAATTCTCTCCCCACAGTTCCTGGATCCATGGTAGGCTGGGCTATTATTTATCTATTATTTCCCACTATAGCCTGGCATTTCAATTGATTGCTTCCTGTGTTTATGAATCCAAAGTAATATTGAAGGACTGCTCATTCAACAGCACTTTAGCAGAAAGGAAAGGAGTTACGAAATATAGTTTGGCTACTTTTCTACTGGTGCCCTTGTGGAACAGAGTGGGCAGTCCACTTACCAGCATTAGAAGCAGAAGAAAAGAATGCCTGCCTGCCTGCGAATGAATTTATTTTGCTATCACTGGTAGCTCTCCCTCCCTTTCCCTTGCATGCCTGCTTCCGTCCAGCTGAGGGCTGCCTGTTGAAGGGACAGGCCAACGACGTCACGGAAAAGCCCTGTCTCTGATCAGATGGGCTTAATATAAACCAGGTTTGCTGAGAAAGAATTAGAGTGGCAGGCGGCCCCAGAGACCGAGGAAGGATTTTCCGTGGGAGACTGGTTCAAGATCCACCAACTCTCTGACAAAAGGGAGTGAGACCAAGAGTGTTGACTCTGGTTGAGACAGGAGATTCTGAAAGACAGCAAGGTAGTATTGGTTTCACAAGATTTCATTTGACTACTTGTCTTCAGCGTTGTGGCATGGAAATTGATAGCGGGGAAATGTAGAGCGATAGAGAGCTTGAAGTTTGCAACTGATCTAACTTTATTTCCTTGATAGCAGTCATCAGCACTATTTAGCAGTATAGAGAAGCAAACAACAAAGTTTGCATGCTATGTGAATTAAGTCAAAGGCATGCTAGTGTGTTGTTCTTGTCCATACTACCTAGAGGAAGGTTGTTAATAGTGTGAGAGTGTGTCACTTATACAGAGATGAGTTGTGTATCATCTATAGTTCTACAGATTGATAGGAGCTGAATAAAAAAGGACCTGTCTCATTTTGTACAGTAGATAGTATTGTGTGAGCATCCCATTACTTTTTGCTCAAATGAGGGTAAAAGTTGGTGTTTTTGCCGGTAGTGGCAGAAGATGCAGAAAAATGCGTGCTTTGAATTTGAAATCATTTAAAGCAGAATTTTCTGCTTTCCTTTGCAATATATTTGTTTCACAGACTCTCTTTGAAATTCCCCTTTTCGGAATGACACACAGAGTTTGAAAAACTTGCAGACCCATCTGTATGTTAACTTTACAAACTTACCTCAGATCTCTCTCTCTCTCTCTCTCTCTCTCTCGTTCCTTCCCTAGTAAATGCTTTGTTAGATAGAGAGATGAGAAGTGAACTAAGAAAGTTCAGGCTTCAACATGAATAAGCAAAATGTCTAAATAACTGTCATGTTGGGAGCTGGAGAGCATCAAAGCAACTTTCCTTAAAATGGTAGCTGCCGATGATACTGGCCACCAGGAATTACCTCACAACATTGCCTCCCTCCAGTGCCAAATATTTCTTTCCAGAAGTTGTACAAGCCATCTTTAGAGAAGGGGAAAGTACTCAGATCACTGGTTTTAAAACTGGATATTAGGTCCTTTCCAAGCAATTAGGCTTTTTTAAAAACTTAATAACATCTGTTGCACTTGCTCCTTTGGAATGTTTCCTTTTCCTCATTACAAGACTTTGTACCCGACACTTTTAGGGAGCTGAAAATAAGGGACTCAGGTATACAATGTTAACTAAAATGATGGAAAAACCAAAGGGTATTTCTTATAGGTATTATTAGCTACTTGCAGAACAGTATCCAGTATTAACCACCCAAAACTGCAAAGCTTGGAAAAGTACTTTTTGGAGTATAGTTACCAGAATCCCTCAGCTGGAATTAATAGTCCAAACATGTAACTTTGGAACCCTATAATATCATATGCATCTGTAAATGCACAAGGGTTTTAATTTTCAGTCTGCGTACATTGGAATTTAATTGCATCCTGTGGGATATAAATGTATAACAACAACAGCTACTTTTCTAAGCTCTGTGCTTGTGAAAAATTAATGTCATAATTCAGGGATTCTAGAATTTATTATTTGGTGGGGGTACTTAGAATTATCTCCAGATACCTTCAACCATAGAGTAAATCTTTGGGAGTAAACTCCAGTATGAGTACATCATTATCCCATAACTTTCAGAACAAGAATTGCCCCTTCACTGGAGGAACGTTTCACAGTTTGTGGACTGTTTACTTAATTGTGCCACTGGAGGTATGCCTGCTGAGATTACCAGATTTCAAGAACACACAAGAAGGTAGCCAGCCTTTCCACAGCCATGTTGTCATGAGTAATATTGTTATTCCATGGTTCTTCTTTTTTAAAACCAGGTAAAGGGGACAAAAGCCATGACTCTGAACAATGTCACGATGCGTCACAACAGTAGTGCCTTGCAATCCCAGCAGCAGCGCTGGAGCATCCCAGCAGACGCAAGGCATTTGGTGGTCCAGAGAGACCCCCATGAGTCCAACCAACAGAAAAGGTACACCATCAACCCTGAAGAGTATTACCGAAGGAGCTGGTCATCGGAGTCTTCCGATTCCGTCATCTCATCTGAATCGGGAAATAGCTACTACCGAGTGGTCCTTATAGGGGAACAAGGAGTCGGCAAAACGACCATCGCCAACATCTTTGCAGGTGTTCACGACAGCATGGACAGTGACTGTGAAGTGCTAGGAGGTAGGTCATGCAGTTCCACCTTGCCAAGGTTTTTTTCAAACCCGTTGTGTAAGCAGTGATTAGTGTTAAGTAACAGAGAAAGGCAGGAGCTTCTAGCACATACGTGAGAGGGATTCCCTTCGTTGTTGTTCTTCTTCAGGATGATTTCATCATGTGGGTGCCTTCTATAATTTCACATTGTGATGGCAGTAGAGTGATCTAACAAATCAGATATTTTCCTGACAGAGTTTTAATGGTAGTACCTAGCAATGAGGCCATGAGGAGTGACGTTTTGGCAAATAAACACATACAGTCACTACTTGGATATGAAAAAGAGGTTGCAACCTTTATTAGCCACAGTTGCAATAGTCCTGGCCCAGATGAGATCCATACTCTCAACGTTTCACCAATGAAACCAGGATATGTGTTTCTAAGCAACATCAGAGTGTATTCGAGGTGGCAAACATGAGGGTGAACATTCAGGCTGAGCAAGGATGCTGCAGTTTGCTTTTCTCTGAGCCTACAGGGAAGAGCAAAATTCTACCCTTTCCTATCCCCTGCATCCCACCCTGAGTTTATTGAATGTAAACAATTCAGTTTCCAGCTAAGTTTGAAATAAGCGGAAGATTAAAAGGGAAAATGGATGAAGGATAGAAAAACTGGGACATTTTAAATGATGTTTAAAAAGTGGCAGAAAATTAAATGGGATTGTCTCTGCCAATTTGGGACAATTCAAGGCTATGGAAATTAGATTGAAGTGTCGGATAACCTGCCCAGTGAGTCCTGCAACCCCAACCTATGTGCTGGGAACCTCTGGAGTGAAGGAAATATGGAAGTCACACAACTGAATGTCTCCTCACCTAGATTAGTTCCTAACCTTTTTTTTTTTTGACCCATCACTCTCCAACATTAGTACCGAAAGGGTTACGAATCAGTTTTTGGTGAACTTTAGATTCAGTTTCATTATTTGGGGTGCTGATTCAGCAAATTGCATTGGATAGACCACATTGCTTCTAGTTTCTGATACAGAACATAAGCCATCCATTAGTCGCCATCTGCTCACCCATAGAAAACCATATTTAATAATCTAGAGTTGATTTTCCCCGCATGTCTCGTGGACCTTATGTTTAGTCTTGCAGCCCACCGTTGGGTGGTGGCCCACAGGTTGGGAAACACTGACCTCAATAATGGGCTAGGTCCCTAGCCCACATGCTACACATGACCCAATACCATATCATATAGCCTCCAGAATTGTGTCAATTGCAACAAAGAAAGAATCAAATAAAGCAAATGGTGTGATCAAGGTCAAGCTCTGCTGGCTAGAAATATGCTTTACGGAAGACTTGTCTGTCAAAAACTGTGACAATTCTGATTGGCTAGTTTTTCTTTTGTGTGCTCAATCTATTAGTTATACCTTTCTTCCACAAAACTTGAAGTAGTTTTGTGTACAGGATTTTTATTCACTCTGACTAATCCAAACAACTACCATGTGAGGTAGGTCAGGCTCACTGAGCTCAGCTTGGAAAAAGTTACTTCTCTGTACTATAATTCTAACATCCTTCAGCCTGAATGACCAGTGTCCACATTGGCACAGGGACTCTGGGAACTGCAATTAAAAATGGAAACTTCCTGAATTGTTGGTGTTTTTTAAAATAAGAAACAGGAGAAAATGCTACAAAAAACACACAGGAGAGGGAAGGTGTGTTGCCTGTTTAAAACCAGAGCCTTGGGTTGTAATAATTATGTGAGCTAATAGGCATTAGGTTTCCTTTACTTGTTATGCCAAGGAATCTTGGCCAGCTCACACTTTCTCAACCTTAGAAGGAGATCTGGCCAAGAAAACTCCATGAAATGGTTGCAGTAAATTGAGTACTGTTTGTTAAAACATAGATTGTTATTTATTTATCATGTCAGGAGCAAACCAAACAGTTGTATTGCATTTTTTAACAAAGAAACAAAACACAAAGTTTGCAGGCTTGGCAGTGGATTAGATATATTTGCCTTTAAATCATGCTCCCAAGAAACAAACTTCATGTATTCGGCATCCCGATACTTTGCTTATCAGTCCAGTTACAAGTAGGTTTGAAGTAGTTTCTCTGTGTAGGTAACACAGGGCTTCTTCCTTAGAAACAACAGTCCAAAGCATCTCTCTGTTTTGAGAGACTAATAGAGTCTCTGTCTAGTCTGAAAGTTCAGGGGAGTCTAATGGCTTCTGTGCAGCATACTGTTCCTACTGAAATCTAAAGTATCCTGTTCCTGCATTGAAGTCTAAACTGTAATATTTGAAAAATGGAGTCTGAGTCCTGAACAAGCCCAGTTTTGATCACATGGTCTGCAACCCCTCCCACAACAAAGACAAGGTAAAATTGCAAACCAATACACACATATACAATACAGTAAGCAATTATATACATAATAAATAACTAGTTGAGGCCTGAGAACGTTGCTATTTCCAACATTTTTTCAAAAGCCATTTTGAGTCCCTTTTTGGAGGGGTGAAAAAATAAAGATGGTGGAAATAATATTAACTGACTAGGGTTCAGGTTCCTGTTCATCTTTAGAAACATGTTGGGTGACCCTGGGCAAGTCCCATTCTGTCAGTTTCAGAAGAAAGCAAAAGCATCCTTTCTCAAAAAAGAAAATACCAAGAAAACCCTGTGATAGATTCATTTTAGGGTTGCTTGAAAACACACAGTAACAATACACAATAACAAAAGCAATAACAACAGCAACAGCAAGAATAGTATTGAGAGTTGGAAGATTCAAGAGTGACAGAATTTGTGTTTGGGACCAACATATCACATATGTGGACAGTTTATGTTGCTTCATATATGAGCCTTTAATATTCCATGAATTATATGACAACTTTAGGACATAATCCTTGCCCTAAAGCTGCAAAATATACAATAGAAGCTTGTAAGTAATATATAGCTATATCCATTTTTTTTACAAATTTGTTCTATTTAGGAAAAAGCACTAATTTATGTTATGATTGCTACTTTATCTCTCAATGTGGTAATTTCCACTCTCTTTCTGAAAAATTTGGGGTCTCTGTACAGATTTACCCCTGGATAAAACTGTTTGATAGGAATTGCTTGCAGCAGCAATGTGTGTTCATCCATACACTGAGTAAAAACAAATATTTTCCATTACTAAGCCCAGCTGGAGTCTGTACGTCTGTCTACAGCTCCCATGGGGTCAAACGTTCAGGATTTGGTTTATTTCTTCCAGTGGGATGTCGTCTTCCCTTTCTTAGGATAATGCTAAGGCCAGCCAAAAATAAGAAAAGGAAAAGAAATGAATATTGTGATCATTTTTCTTAAAGACTTCATTGTTTCTTTTGTGGAAATTATGTGGTCATATAGCTTATGGAAATTATAATGACTCTGCCAGAGTCTGCTATTTGAATGACAAACACAACAAGATTGTATATGAGATTTCTTTCTCCAACCGCTCAAGATGAAAACTAATAAAAGAAAAATACACACATTCTTCATAGCTCTTTGTGCAGAAGTCAGTGAGGGCGAGAAATGCAAAAGAAAGAGCAGATGAGGAAAAACATTATGGTATATTGCCATTACTCCTATGCTGTCAATAGAATACACAAAGCTTTGGATTTTTTGCATCTGGCTTCTGTCAAGAAGTCAAGAAGAACTTGAAAAAAATTCTGATTTTTATTATCTTACATTGGAGGGGTTTTTTTTCATGCCAGGAGCGACTTGAGAAATTGCAGGTCGCTTCTGGTGTGAGAGAACTGGCTGTCTGCAAGGATGTTGCCCAGGGGATGCCTGGATGTTTTGATGTTTTACCATCCTTGTGGGAAGCTTCTCTCATGTCCCCACATGGGGAGTTGGAGCTGACAGAGGGAGCTCATCTGCACTCTCCTCGGATTCGAACCTCCAACCTGCCAGTCTTCAGTCCTGCCGGCCCAAGGGTTTAACCCATTGTGCCACCTGGCGCTCCTGTACATTGGAGTGAAAGTATTTTGAAAATGTTAGGACGCATCTCCCAGTTCCTTCGTATGCTCTATTCGGATATAACAGGGTTGTTATTGTTGTTGTTTGGCTACAGAACCAATATAGGGGCCAACTGAACTATACAACCATATACCGATAAGTTTCTGCCTGATGTAGAATTCTGTGTACACCAATCTACAATTCTCCCAGTCTGGAATAAAAAAGGGGGGAAAAGCAGTACTGAGTCTATTTTCTACCCTTTCTTTCTTAGAAAATACATACGAACGGACCTTACTGGTAGACGGTGAAAGCGCAACAGTCATCCTCATTGACATGTGGGAAAACAAGGTAATGTACAAGGTCATTTTGCTTGTAGGAAATTTAGTAGACATTGCTTCAGGAGGCTGATTTTCAGGGATTATCAGTCTATACAAATTGAGAGATAGATTGAAAGATCTAAGAAGTAAGTGTGTAAATATCTAAAATCTATATATAGATTTAAACCTATCTGTTCTACATGTTATGCTTTGTTGAGACATAGTTAGGCCAAGTTGAAATATTTAATTGTTATGTATATTTCCCATACTTGTACCCTGCCTTTTTCACTCTGAAGGGGACTCACAACTAGCAACAATTTGATGCCCAACAAACAAACAGATTCCCAAAAATAACAATTACAATTAAAACCAGCAATAAAACATAGATTGTTAAAATAACAATTAAAATCACGCAAGTTCAAAATCATAGTCCAGGATCAGTCCATTACTCCATCACTTTAAGAGATCTCAAATACCAGGTTCAAACGTTTTTACTTAACATTTAAATAGCCCCAAACTTCTTCATTTTGGCTGCAAACAGGGTGGTTTAGTGGAAAGACCGTTCAAACAAGCCTCTTATGAAAGAGCTGTGCTTGTTGCCACTGAAATTCAACAGCATGATCTGCCACCAAATTTCAATGGCATGGTTTGAGGTAAGGGCTGGAAAGAGAACCTTGCGAGATTTATGATGTAGGCCTGCAAGTTGTCTGCCTTAATGCTAAAGGTTTTTTTCCCATGTCAGGAGCGACTTGAGAAACTGCAAGTCACTTCTGGTATGAGAGAATTGGTCGTCTGCAAGGACGTTGCCCAGGAGACACCCGGATGTTTTACCATCCTGTCCCCGGATAGGAAGCTGGAGCTGACAGATGGGAAGCTGGAGCTGACAGATGGGAGCTCACCCACTCTTTGTATTTGAATTGCCAACCTTTCAGTCAGCAGGCCTGCTAGTACAAGAGTTTAACCCATTGCACCACTGGGAGCTCTGCTGAATGCTAAAGGGAACCTCAGATATTCTACTTTCCCTTTTCTTCATGTGAGCAATAGAGCAAATGGAGACACACTATGCAAGTATAATGGAATTATATTTAAAGAGAGAAAAAGCAGAGGAAAACCTCATGATAAGATTTTCTTTCCAGAGTTTTTGTAATCTAGCTTCAGTCCATTTAATTTTGTGGGTCAAAACAAATGACTATTTCTTTTTCAATTGAACTTAATGGAAATCAAGTACTGAGGCAACTCAGTACTTCTGGGCATTTCCAAAATCAAGATACAATAGAAGATAGATTTGTTATGTCACTATCCCTTCATTCTCCTAAGAAGTAACTTCTGACAGGTAACATTATTGCTAAAAAAATATTCCAGGCTCTAAATTCAGCAGATAATGTATTATATCAGGTCCCAACAAGATTGGTTTCCTAAAAGAAAGGATATCTGTGCTGCTCAGTCTGTTTTTGTTTGTAGGGGTGCTTTGGGGGCAATGTGAATGGGACAGTGAATCCATTCCAGATTTCATACAGACTTTAGGGGAGCTCTCCAATGTGCTGAATCCTTTCCCAACTGAGGTTCAGCACCTTGTGTAACACCATCAATGTTTACGTTAAAACCTGAATTCACTAGCTGCCACTGGTCCTGAATGTAAGCATGGACTACATATAAAAAGTGTGAACTACATATATTGAGATACATGAGATCTGCAAAGACTGCTTCAATATGGTCTGGTTATTTTAATATTATATACTTAGTTGTTTAACAGCAAAGTAGACCATTTTACTTGAAAAAGATAAAAAGCAAAATGAAAATGAAAAAAAGAAACAATATAACATATAAAGATACACAGAGACATGTATAAGACTAAAGTCTTAAAGTTCAAACACAGCACTAAAACTCTAATCTAAAACTATATGCACTAAAATACCAGTAGCTAACTGAAACACTGACCTAGCTTACCCACCCAAACTGTAATGAAAGAAAGAAAAAGTAGAGAGAGAAAAATATAATATGTTATCATCACAGATTCTACTATGAATTACTAGTAACCATAGCCAGAGATGATTATATTGTGTATGATCCATTAATATTATTGCCTTTGTTTTTCCAAAAGACACAGAGTTACCAAAAAAGAAATTCAGAATACACTGACCTGGAATGTAATCCTTTTTTTAAAAAACAGGGTGAAAATGGATGGCTTCAAGAACACTGCATGCAGGTTGGAGATGCATACTTGATCGTCTATTCCATCACGGACCGTGCAAGTTTTGAGAGAGCGTCAGAGCTCAGAATACAGCTCCGTCGGGCACGCCAAACAGAAGACATTCCAATTATTTTAGTGGGCAACAAAAGTGACCTAGTCAGGTGCCGGGAAGTCTCTGTTTCAGGTAGGATTCCCTGGATGGCAATTGTTGGTGCTGTTGCTTGAGTATGTGCTGCTTAACAAGCTTGGAAATTGTTTGTTTTGGGGGGACTTATAGCTCTCAGGAGACATATGCACACTTCAGTCCATAAAATAACTTTTCTGAGATCTACTATTTTAACATAATTCCTATCCAGAGGTGTTGTTATCTTAGTGATAACAAAAACAACATAGCTTCGTTAATCAATAAAAATAGAGCACAATTAAAAAACTGCTGGCAGAGCACAAGCAGCCCCCACGTTACAAACAAGATAGGTTCTATGGGCTTGTTCTTAAGTTGAATTTGTTTGCAAGTTGGACCAGGTACATTGTTTAAATGTAACTCCAGTTACACACACATATATGGATAGCACAAGGAAGGGGTTTGCAAGCTTGGTAGTTGATTAAATGTCCTTTGACCAGTATCTGGCCACTTGGAGTGCCTCTGGTGTTGCTGCAAGAAGGTCCTCCATTGTGCATGTGCAGGCTCAGGTTGCATTGCAGCAGGTGGTCTGTAGTTTGCTCTTCTCCACACTCACATGTCATGGATTCCACTTTGTAGCCCCATTTTAAGGTTGGCTCTGCATCTCGTGGTGCCAGAGCGCAGTCTGTTCAGCGCCTTCCAAGTCACCCAGTTTTCTGTGTGCCCAGGGAGTCTCTCATTTGGTATCAGCCATTGATTGAGGTTCTGGGTTTGAGCCTGCCACTTTGGACTCTTGCTTGCTGAGGTGTTCCAGCGAGTGTCTCTGTAGATCTTAGAAAACTATTTCTTGATTTAAGTCGTTGACGTGCTGGCTGATATCCAAACAGGGGATGAGCTGGAGATGTCACTGCCTTGGTCCTTTCACTATTGGCTGCTACTTCCTGGTGGATGTCAGGTGGTGCAATACCAGCTAAACAGTGTAATTTCTCCAGTGGTGTAGGGCACAGACACCCCGTGATAATGCGGCATGTCTCATTAAGAGCCACATTCACTGTTTTAGCATGGTGAGATGTGTTCCACACTGGGCATGCATACTCAGCAGCAGAGTAGCATAGTGTAAGAGCAGATGTCTTCACTGTGTCTGGTTGTGATACCCATGTTGTGCCAGTCAGCTTTCGTATGATATTATTTCTAGCACCCACTTTTTTTCCTATGAAAGATATTCAGTACCAATGTAAACCTAGAACACTGGGAATTTCTTGAGGGCCTCTATTCAAGGTAATAATATTTTAAAATCCTGTCCATATCTCCAGAAACATGCTAGAAAGCAGAGCTATACTTGTGTAAATTATTTGTAGGAAGCCCTCCTTGCCACTGCCGAGATCCAAAGCCAAATTCTCTTCATGGTTGTATTCACAGAGATATCTAAACCACTCATAATTGGCGTTAGCTAAAGTGCTACAGCTGAGATAGGCAATCCCAGTTGATCTGTATTTGTCTTTCTTCCATATTTTAAAAGTCAGGAGTGTTAACAATGCTTTGGTTTCTCCTGTAAACACTGTAGTATCCATTTGCCTTAATACTGTTCCCTTATTTTTTTTTATAATTCTCTTTTGTTCATGAACATGATTTAGTTCTTTAATGAAGAGCTAAAGCTGAAAGGATATGTTTATATGTTCTTTTAACCTTGGCTATTCTTAAAAGAGTAAAATCATGTTAAAAATCTGCACAATGTGGATTTCAAAATGTAGTTTTAAAACTAGTTAATAGCCTGCTTTTGAAGATTGCAATTTTAATTTTCTTGGCACAAAATACTCCTGATGTCAGACTATAAAATGGAGGAAAGAACATGAGTGGAATCTAACTTGTGGTTTTTATTTTTAAAGTAAGTTTCCTAATGAAGTCAGAGCATCACTAGGGTTGGAAGCTTTCATCAAGAAAGCTTGACTGAAGCTATATGTATCCTGAATTCACACCACTGTGTACATATTGAATTTTCTATTTCTTCTACATGCTAAGAGTCCTGTTTTTATTGTTTTCAAAAGGCAAGCTTCTACTCTTTATAGGTCGGGAAATGCAAGAAATCTTAGAAACCAAGCTCAGAAATCTCTTAGGAGTTTATCACACAAGGCAACTAATTTGCAATTATGGCAAAACAATAGTATCTTTAACTGGGGATCCCAGGGCCCTTTCACACAGCCCTATATCCCAGGATATCAAGGCAGAAAATCCCACAATATCTGCTTTGAACTGGGTTATCTGAGTCCACACTCAGATAATGTGGGTATTTTCCACCTTGATGTTCTGGGATATAGGGCTATGTGTAAGGGCCCCCAGTGTCCTTTAGACCACTTTTTCCATCTTTGTAACTAGCAGAAACAGATTAAATTATGTAAAACATGGACCCAATTGTGATTTGTTTGCTTTGTGCAATAAACTCCTAAATTTCAGGCTGAGAATTCTCAGAAACCAGTGAGTCAGGAGTAATCAAGTGTACTTTATACCACTTTTTCCATCTTTGTAACTGGCAGAAACAGACTAAGTTATGCAAAACATGGACACAACATGTGATAAATCCCACTATTATCTTTGTGTAATTGCGACATGGACACATGGAAACAACATCACACCACCTGCAGGTGAGGAACATTCTGCCATATGGCAAGGGTGGAATTCAGTACATCTAGATTATGCCAAGTTGGTGAACACTGATTTGCCATCTTGATGGATCGAATTGGAATTGGTGCTTCAGTTGTACCACTACCAGTTGTTTGTTTCTGTGAATCACTTGCATATTTGCTTTTCATTTTCTTGAGAGTATGCATTATGCATAATATGTTGACTTCCACCTCTTTAAATATTTTGCAGAAGGCAGAGCGTGTGCCGTTGTGTTTGACTGTAAGTTCATTGAGACTTCAGCAGCCGTGCAGCACAATGTGAAGGAGCTGTTTGAAGGCATCGTGCGTCAAGTGCGGTTAAGAAGAGACAGCAAAGAGAAGAATGAAAAAAGGCTGGCATATCAGAAGAGGAGGGAGAGCATCCCTAAGAAAGCCAGGCGGTTCTGGGGCAAAATCGTAGCCAAGAAGAACAAGAACATGGCCTTCAAACTGAAATCCAAGTCTTGCCATGATCTCTCGGTCCTCTAGAAACATCAGATGTTGTCCCTCATGAACTCTATTTGACTCCATTTCAAACAATACATCAGTCTATATTAGACTGATCAACAAGAAATATAAGACTGACTTGGATTCACAACTGTGATTATTGTGACAAAATCTGCCGGCAATAAGCACAGTCTTATGCATGCATGGGAAAAGAAATGCCATTTATACTTTTTTTGGTTTTATTTTATCATTTAAGGGTATGAATGTGTTGGGTGTGAATGTGTTTGTCTTATCTGATACACAGGAACATTCCAAATGTAAGCATGTGTTCACAAAAACACAAACTATTTTCCTTGTTGCCTTTTGGAAAATGCCTACAAACCAAAAAGCATCATTTGGAATATTGGCTTGGCATTCTCATTCTTATTTCTTGCTATATCTTCTATAAGCCAAGGGAATGGGAAAGGGAATTGATAGAGATGCCTTCTCCCCTGTAAACTAGTTGATTTTTGTAAGTGCCAACAGCGGAAAATCTGTTTTACAATATCATTTGCTCCAATGGCCAAGTGAAAGCTATCAACAGCATCTAGCTTCTCAAGTGTTTGGACAAAGGGAAATTTTGCATACAGAGAGTTCCACTGTTATGGAACAATATAGTGGATGGATCTGTATGTGAATAATAAAGAGAGATTGATAACATGGGTTAGGTTATGGCTAGTTTAAGTTTAATAATAGTAGATGATGCCTAGAAGAACTCTGTGTTTACATCTTCAATCATCCAATCATTTTAAAAACTAGATGCCATGTCAGCCAAGAGAGTCTGGGAGCTGTAGTTAAAAGGCAACATTTCCAAGATGGGTTCAAAACATAAGGTTGGACTCTAAGCTTTGCTGGTGCCAGAAGGAATGGGCTGGATGGCAGTGTTCCTCATTCTCCCTTTCTTCTAGCAAAGCAATGTGGAAACTTTGGTTCTCTAGATGTTTTAGACTTCAACTCTTAGAAACCCCAGTCAATACAGATTGTGGGAGCTGTATTCTGAAACAATAGTTCCCAAACTTTGGTCTTCCATGTGTTTTGGTTTTCAGATCCCAAAATATCAGGCCAAGGTATCTGAGGCTTCTGGGAGTAGAAATCCAAAATACCAGAAGGAGTACAAGATGGGAACCACTGATCTAAAGCATGAGAAGAATGAAAAGGGTCTTGTGCTCACATACTTTCTGCAAAGGGAAGGAGTCCTTCCATTTACAAAAAGACAGGTGTGAATCCAACACATAGTTGTAGGATGTATTTCTGTACTGCAACTTTCTGTGTTGTTATACATGGTATTTCTCTCTAAGGCTACAGAAGTAGAAAATAGAAGAAAATCAAGTGCAAAATGCCAATCTTGAGGCACAGGGGAGATCTTTTATAAAAATCCACAAAGACATTTTGTGCTCAAATCTAATGTTTGTATTATGCCATAACTGTTTGTATTTATTATCTTTTAATTATTGTATTTTTAATGGGTCAACTCTAGAAAGGGGTGGGGGCAGGGATGATGTAGTCTTGAAATATATTTATTAAGTGATTTCCTAAGAAAAATGTTGATTTTATTACTGTTTTCTATATGATATCTTTTTGGATTAAGCAACATTTTATTTACATGCCTTGTAATAAATTAATAAAAGGTTCTGTTACCTTTGAACCTGATGTCAAATTTCAACATTTCTCCTTTTTGAGGGCTTGATGATACAATATTCTTTTTTTAAAAAAAGCATTTGGATTGAGATATATTGTATTGGAAAGGTGAAACCTGGTGGATATAAGTAACCTAGGTCTTGACTCTTGAGAGTAATAAACGAACTGGCTCATTTATAAATTATAATTGGTTTGCCAAGTTCAAATACAATTGTCTAAATTTGGAATAAAGTTTTTCTGTTATGAAAATTCAGAGTAACTTTATCACCAGAATGTGCTTTTTGGGAGTGATGTCACTTGTCATGACACTTTTATTTAAGTATTAATACACTTGCTTTACGATAGCTGTGACACGGAGATATCAGCTGAAGCAGCAGCAGCAGTCAAGAGAGGAAAATGTCCACATGTTATGACTGGTTGGTTTGAGAGCCAAACTTCTAATCTGATTGATTCTGTAAGTAAAATAATGGAGCACATATACTTTGCAAACAGAGCTTTTACATTTCATCTGGAAACTACAAGGATAACGAAGAACACAAATCTGCATCCTCAATAGATGTCAGTACAAGGAGGACAAATTTCCCTAATTGGTCATGCTGGCTGTGGGATTCGGGAAGCTGCAATGTAAAAGAAACCTAGTTTATACCATCTCTGAATGTGGTTAAACCTGAAATTCAATGGTATCATTAATTATTACATTTGTAATAATGGTGCCATGACTTTTGAAATCTGTTTTTTTAATGTATTCTGCAGTAGTCATATTACAGTAAACCAATCAAGAGGTAAACAAAGCTTGAAACATTGTGGCCAGATTTTCTTTCCCCAAGAAAAGGTGTAGCTGATGTACCATCTGAACCTGGCCAAAGGTGTTCCTGGGAACACCAGCAACTTGGTTTCCTGGGAACAGTGCTGGGCCCAAGATCACTCTCCAATCTATGGATCTGAGCTTTCAGAGGGACAGCAACCCCATCCAGAAAAGCCTGTGTGACTCAATCCTTATATCTATCATGGGTAGTGTAGTACTTGGATGTTGGACTAGGAGTCTGCCGCACCAGGGTTTGAATCTCCAGTCAGCCATGACACTCGCTCAGCCTCAGAGCAAGGCAATGACAAACTCCCTCTGAACAAATCTTGTCAAGAAAATATCATGATAGGTTGTCTTAAAGTTGTCATAAGTTGGAAATAACTTGAAGGAATGCAGCAACAATACCAAGGGCCACAACCATCTCTTCTCGCAACATTTTCTTTTACTGTTCAAGGCAATTGAATGTAGTGCAAATGGAAGATGTTAGAAAGCACTGGCATTGACAGTTCTTTTGAGCTTCCATCCCACCTCCTCATTTTCCTTTTCTCAGATGACAGAGCTGTGGATCCCACTTGGGCTGATTTGCAGCTATGATGTAGATGATAATAATAATGATGATGATAATAAACCTTCTAGTATTAAAAAAACCCTCTGTTCCTAAACTGGACTCAAACCCCCAAAGTTTCCACTCCTTAGAAGCAAGGTCTCCTGACCCCATCCTATGTTCTAATACATAAATGAAAAAAAATGCTTCCTCCTTGATGTAATTACATTTCTTGATTACACTTGTTTAATGTGACAGACTCTCAGATGTAAACACTCCAGGGTCCTGTTGATTTAATTTTGCATACATTGAACCTGCTGTCTGCTATGATAAATAGGTCAGAACAAAGACATTTCCTAAGACAATCTGAAAATGTTGATAGATTGCAGAGAGGATGTCCTTTAAAGAAAATTATCAGCATTTGTTTATGTGAAGAAAACAACCCTATACAATGGTACATAAGGTGGGCTCTGAAATCATCTGTTTGTCTCGCTTTGGGCCTTACAAAGGGAACACCTTTTTCAGCTGCAGAAATAAACCTCTGTCTTATGACACAACAATCAGAAACGGTGGAGGCATATCCCTTTGGCTGCACCGAAGTAAGATTCCTCCTCCGGTCCAAGTGTCTTCTCTGTATGGAATGGGGAGATCCCTGTATGTCATTTTTTTTCAGCCTCAGGCAGCAAATGCACTAGGCTTATCATTGTTTAATTATGTGTTGTTTGAAGCAGTGCTCACAGTTTGTCTGCCAGCCAGGAAGCACAACTGTATATATCTTTGTCAAGTTCTCTATTATTCATCATTTTTCTAGATAAAAAAAGGGAAAGCCCTAAATGCGTGTTGCCTTTCCCAACACCCCAAAACACCTCAACATCTTTATTGTCATGGCTACTCCTATCTACACTTTTTATTAGAGTTTTTGGATGTAGGTTTTTTTTTTCATCATTAGCATCGTTTTCTTAAGTATCTACTTTTCTGGTTTCCTTTTTTGGGATGTGCTGATAGAAAGGAAGTACACAATATCCACCACAACTGAGAATATGAAGAAAGGCGTTTGTGCCAAGAGGGAGTCAGTGACCTGCTGACTGAGAATGGGAAGTCTTCCTTAAAGAGACATCTCCTCAAGTCTTGCAAGATCTCAGCAGACTCCAAATAGGGTCTGTTGCCTGGCTTGTGCTTCAGACATTTTTGGTAAGATGTCGGTAAATAGCTTTCCAAGCCCTATATATTTATCAAAGGCATAGAAGCAAGAGACAATGTGGTGCAATGGTTTGAGAGTGGGACTCTGGAAGACAAATCCCAGCTCAAGTCACACTTAAATTCCTGCAATTCACACTCTCAGACTCAGAGAAAAGCAAGAGCGAACCTTCTCTGATTCAATCCTGCCAAGACATTCCTATGAAAGGCTGGCCATAAATTGGAGTCAAATTGAAGGCACACAACATGAACATTACCTCAAGGCAACTAAGAATACCTTATTGTAATGAGTGTCTGACTCAGTGCACATTATGAATTAAATATGCACTTTTGGGGGCAGAGCAGAATTGATGAAGGTGACTTAAGTCAGGAAAGTTCAACTGTGACTTGGGAAGCTTCTGACTTTTGGTTTGAATTGTCAAACACTGCCAGGTAAGATAATGTAGACCAGGGGTTCTCAGACTTTTTCAACAGCGGAGCCCTTTTTGAAGCAAAAATTTGTCATGGAACCCCAAGAAATGTTTATATATTATATATTTTAAAAAGGTAAAGATTTCCCCATGACATTAAGTCTAGTTGTGTTCAACTCTGGGTGGTGAAACTCATTTTCACTTCTAAGTCGAAGAGCTGGTGTTGTTTGTAGTCACCTCCAAGGTCGTGTGGCTGGCATGATTGCATGGAGCACTGTTACTTTCCCACAGAATTGGTACCTATTGATCTACTCACATTTGCATGTTTTTGAACTGCTAGGTTGGCAGAAGCTGGGCCTAACAGCAGGAGTTCACCCCACTCCTCAGATTTGAACCACCAACCTTTGGGTCACCAAGTTCACCAGCTCAGTGGTTTAACCCACTGTGCTATGGGAGGGGGGCATATTATATGTATATAATGTATATATATCATGCATGAGCCAGGCCAGTGACTAATGAAGGAGAGTTTCTGTGTGAACTAATGCACAGAGTGCAAAAAAAGAAATAAAGAACAATACAAAAAGCACCTGGGCAGTGAGGGAGACACTTGGGAAAGGCCTTGGTAGCAAGGAGAAGAGTAGGCAGCGAGGGAGGTGCAGGGAAAGAATCTGGGTGGCAAGGAAAAAGTCTGGGCAGTGAGGAGAAAGGATCTGTGCCCTGGGAGGATGTTGCTGTTGCTGTTGTTTCCGGCAGCTCAAACTGTAATTTCCCTGCATTTCTCAGGAGGAGGAAAGAGGAAAGAGGAGGAGGCAGGAAGCAGCATGATGCCACAGAGCCCCTCACTATAACTAGCATAGTTTGAGAACTCCTGCTGTAGACCATACACCTGAACAGTAATAGAAAATCTAAAAACAAATTCAGCAGTGATCAAGTTTTCGGTGATAGCAGTGCTGCTATCAGTACTGCTATCAGAGTTAGGAAACTGACCGCATACTGATTGAGTGCTCACTATAATTCCAGGACAAATATTTAACTTGTGAGATAATTTCTGTTTTCTGAATGGCAATACTTACCTTTTGCTTGATTTTGCAGAGTTTAGAAAGTGCTTGTTGTAACAAGTTCAAGTGATATCTCAAAAGGATTGTCTTTAAGGGAAGGGCTGTGGTAGATCTGTATTTGCACCAAACAACTGGAGATCTGGATAATAGGGTAGGGTTGAGCAGGGAAGGGTAGTTTTCAAGCTAAAACATGTGGGCAAATGGTGAGCTAGAGAGATCAAGTGTAGTGTAATGGTTAATTCTGGATTGGAAGGTTGGAAGTTCATGTTCCTGTTGATTAGTGGTTCTCAACCAGGTGTTTTGGCCTACAACTCCCAGAAATCCCAGCCAGTTTACCAGCTGTGAGGATTTCTGGAAGTTGAAGGCCAAAACATCTGGGGACCCACAGGTTGAGAACCACTACTGTGGATCCATGAAATTCACAAGGTGTATTCATACTACACAATTACAGCAGTTCAATGTTGCTTTAAGTGCAATAAATCCATTCCACAGAATCCTAAGAGTTGTTGTTATGATGGGTACTTAAAATTCTCTGCCAGGAAACTCAATGCTGCAGTTCAGGAGAGTGCACTTTGAAGAATTATAAATACTTTGATGAACTCTAAATCCCAGGGTTTTGTCCAGGAAATGAAAAACTTGAGGACTTGGAGAAGAGTGGTGCAAAGACATTCTGGGGGAGACACATGAAGTTTCAGAGCCATGATTTTCCAACCTCCATCTAAAAAAGTAAAAATGCAGACAAGCTGGACCCTGAGTCACTGAGTCACTGCTCCACCTAACAAGCTGTAAAAATGTCTAAACATTAGAGTTTCTGTGGCAGAAACTAATAAGATAATTGCAATGTCATCTATAGAAATCTGGCAGGGTCTGTGGAATCGGTGAGTCATCGCCCTGACGGAATAATGGCAGCGGTCCTGAAAGCCAAGGGGCCTTTGCACAATAAAGCAAACAGAAGCATTACGAGCCTGCAATCCTGTGAAGGGATGAACTGTTCTAACAGTTCTCTTTCAGGGGGAAAGATTGAACAGCAATATGAATTAGAGATCCACTGGAATAAAAAAAAAATCTCATCTCATGACATACAAATAAGTTGCAAGCAGACTATTAATAAGAGGACAGAAAATAAGAAAGAAAACAGAATTGCCCGGCTGTAATGCTGCAAGTCTGATTTCTGACATTACAGTTCATTTTAATTGTTATTGCACTATTGTAATGACCCAAAGTCCCCCAAACATACCACTTAAGGCACACAGCCAATTCCAAGTTGCTGAACTCGGCCTACACTCAGCTCCAGCAAGCAGACTGGATGCAAAAGTGCTCATCTCTCTTCTCTCCAGCAACTTAGAAATGTCTAGTTGGGCAGAGAGCTTAAAAGATCTAATAATGAGACATAACTATGTCTCCACAGCTATATCTCCCTACCGGAACCCAGACGCCTTAACGAGCCAGACTCAGGAGTATGTCCAAAAGAATAGTTTATTAATATAAAGCAAAAGAGACTCAGAGATACTTGCTTCAGTGTCTCTGGTCAAAACTCAAAAGTAGCAGCAATTTTCAGTTTGAAAAGCAAACTAAAGCAATAATCCGGATTATCCAGGAAAAAGATCCGGATTAAACTGAAGTACTTCCAAAATCCCGCAAAATCACACAGCAAATGAAGAACGTCCAAACAAAGAGCCATGAAGAAAGAGCCGTAGTCCAATGAAGTCCGAAGTCGAAGAAAGCCAAGTCCAAAGTTGCGAGGTTCCAAAGTCCACAAGGCAGCGTCATCGTCAAAAGCAGTACAAAGTCAAGGAAAGGGGAAATCCGCACTCACGAGAATGCAAGCCGAGTTGTAACACGAAAGTAAACAGCAACCTGCAGATCCAGGACCCAAGCCCAACACGAAAGCAGCAGCAACAAGACCCAAGGCACGAAACCAACACTTTGCCTACTGCAAAGTTCTTCCATTTCAGTGCCTACTTTTATCTTACAACTCATCATCTGATGATGAGTTGCCCTCCACCCCATCGTCATCACTTACAGCTGGTTTAGCTTCCACACCTGAATGCCAACGCCCATCCCTCCAACTCTTCCACCTCTTGTCAAGACTTAGCTCTCCCCAAGATTCCACAGTATCTCCCGATTGCCAATCCCCACCACCAGAAAACCCCAAAAATGTGTCACTAGACATTGGTTGAGTACACACATCCTGAACCTCTTGCACCTTGGTCCAATCCGGTGATTCATCCTTATCCCCATCACTCCCAGACCCATCATTCCCAGAGAAACCCATGAAATCCTCCTCTTCTGTGGGAGCAGTAAGTATATCCCGAATCTTCTTCCTCTGTTGCTCTTCATCCTATTCTTGCTCCCGAGTAACCCTCTTAGTTCCCCTATTCACATCCACTGTATCTCCTTCCTCCTCCTCACTCATTTCACTCTCAGAAAATCCTTAGAAGGAATCTTCATCAGTGGGTGACATAAGTATCTCCCAGAACCTCTTCCTCTATTGTTCCTCATCTAACTCTTGAGCACTCCTTTTCCCTCTTCCAACAGCCTTACTACCAGTTGCAGTGTTGCTAACAGACTCTATTACAACACTCCCGGTGAAGGATCATGGCTTATCATATGTGTTAATAAATCTCAAAGCTTTTGGAAAGCAGTTTTTGGAACCCCTGTAATTAGCATAGTTAGTTATGGTTGAAACGTAACCTATAGCACATCTTGGTCCCATCAAACTAAAGCTGGGTGAGATTCTTCAATGCAATGCTTGGTCAAGATACTTTCTATGTGATATAGATAGCACCTTTTCCTTCATACATAAGCTGGATCCTCTTATCCCTGGTCCAAGGTAACCACTACAGTGGCACGGAGCAAAGGGACTCTTATGGTCATCTCAGGGTCCCAGCTGGCCCATATAAGGTTAACCAGTATTGTCAGAAAGGTTGTCCTTGATCTGAGCTATATCGGTCATAACCAGCCATTTGAATTGTGTTCGGAAAACATAAAAGTCCTCCTACAGTCCTTTTTGTCTCAAACACAGAAATGGGCAAACAAAGCTAACAAATGGCCTATAGAAATGACTGTAAGAAAAATGGAATGTGTGGGTGTTAAATTCATTGCTTGGTTGATGATGGCATGTCAAGGCTGAAGGAAGAACGGTTGAGTAAAAAACAAAGTGTATACTGCAAACAGTCTCATTGATTGGTGGCTCATAGCCTCTGACTGACTCATTTACTATCCAAATAAGCTAACCAAAAGTTTCTATATTGTGTGTGGGTTGGATATTGCAGGGATTTGGAACAGACAGGAAATTACAGTAGTTAAGGACTTCTCTCTGAGGCTCCAGTGTTTACCTTAGGATAGGTCCGCTGACATTGTAAGATGGAATTTCAAAACATGATATGCCATGCAAGGAGTAAGATATAAAGGCAGTGGGCATGGATACTCCATACAGCCAGTGGAGTTGTAACACTTCAAGATCTAATCTACTTTGATACCCGTGCTTTCTTGGAAAGGCCCTTTGGAATGCAGAAATCGTAAATCAATTAAATG